TTAAATGAAAAAGCATGTCATTAAAAATACCTTCAATAATCTTATTCAATTTTTTGTAAACTAATGGTTTTTTTGTTTTGAGCTTATACTAATGGTTACGTTAGTAATCATCAGTATATAATATATTTATACTGACAAATAGTCATATATCATCAGAAAAAGTTTGCTTATACCGACAGTTAAATAAAATATTTATACAAGTATGCTATATTTTGATGGTATTAAAAATCTATCAGTAAAAATCTCTTTTATTAACAGAATTTAATTGTCAGTAAATAATCCATTCAAAAAAATTTTTGTATGAATTATTGAAGACGTTTTTGATCGAAAACACCTTCAATAATCCCTTTTCAAAACTTTTTGAATGGATTATTGAAGACGTTTTTGACAAAAAAACACTTTCAGGAATTCCGTTCAATTTTTTGTAAGTCAATAGTTTTTTTTGTTTTAAACTTATACTGACGGTTATATTAATAATCATTAATATATAACATATTTATGTTAACGGATAGTCATATATCATAAAAAAAGTTTATTTATATCGATAATGAAATAAATGTTGGTATAAATATAGTATATTCTAATAATATTAAAAATTTGTCTGAAAAAATATTTTTTACTAACGAAATTTGACGGTCAATATAATCAAGTATCAATATATGAAAAATATTTTGTAGTGTCAATTGATTAGCACTTGCATGGTGAGATGGGGAGGGGGACTTACAACCAGTAATATACCCAGTTCCAGCCAAAAAATCCCAGTAGAATCATGGATTCCCAGCCACAGATTGATATGTAACCAAATTAGGAATTGAAATTTATCAAAAATGATTGAGCAAAGTATGAAAACAACACCCAAATTGTAGACTTAAAAAAAAAAAAAAAAAAAAAGGTGACACAAGGAAGTGGAACCAACCAAATAGAAAGAACATCAATTGCAAATTCAGTATCGTGCAAATACCCAGACACTGTAATTAATATTCTGTAATAGAAATTCTCCAACCTGAAACATAAAATATCCACAAACTCTGATTAATTACTTCAGTATTATAAGAGAATCAATTATCAAATAAATCAAGGAAAGGTAACAGAGACCCAGCACGTACAAAAGCTTGACACCAGAGGCAAGAGAGAGTTTGAAGAAATCTCAAAGCCCAAGGAAGGCCTGTGCAGAAAAACCAGTCCAAGAAAGTGGACAACCACCACAAATAGCATAAAAAAAGTCCCAAAACGGACAACCACCACGAGAAATCAAGGGCAATAGCTGTCCCAACTTTCAACTTGTAAACAAAAACCCAACTCACTAACACATGAACTGCAAGGGCAACCCCAGAAACCCAAGCAATCACTGCAGTCTTCAGTTGGCTCTGTAAGAATCTCTGCAATGTAAACTGAAATGGGAAGCTTAAGTGCAATGGTGTCAACCAAACTGCAACTAAACCAGTTTGGACAGCCACGTTGGTTGGTTGCCCAATGAGCTTTAAGATTGGAGGAGCAGCAATAATGATAAAAGGTAGTAAAAGAACGGAACAAATGACGAGAACAATCCATGAACGTTGCATATATATACCCAACATTTGATATTGCTTTGCTCCATAAGCTTGTCCACATACTGTCTCTAATGCACTGGTCATTCCTAACTACAAGAAAGCAAGCTTCAAAAAACTTTGGTCTTTTTTTTTTTAAATGAAAAATAAGGAGATATTTTGAGATGAGAAAAATAAGAAACATTTTTATATGGGTTATTAGTTACAATTACCAAGAATCCGAAAGTGATGGAAATGATGACAGTGGTAGCAATGGAAATGGCAGCTAGATTGAGGTCATCAAGGTGGCCAGCGAATGCTTGAGTTATGGCAGTCATGGAGAACATGGCAAGGCGGCAGAAGATGGAAGGACCCACAATTAACCATAGCTTCTTTGATTCAACCCAGGTTTTTCTTATCAGATTTGACTCTGTTGTTGGAGATGGAAGCGTTGAGTTTGATTGAGCTTGAAAGAATCAAAGCTTCTTCTTCCTCCTCTTGCTGTATTGTGCCCATTTCTTGGGCGTTTGGCAGTGACCCTCAGCCTCTGGCCTCCGCCACCACGCGACAATGGGAGGCTGTGGCTCGGGCCACGAAGGCTCTTGTTCAAGTCATGAAGAAAGGCCCGCAATTATTGATCCCTTAAGCTGGGCTGGACTGAGTCCAACTCCAAGTCATGAAAGAAAGACTACAACTCAAAATTTGGACCCCAAGGTTGGGCTTTGATTTTTAGAGCCCATGAATTTTAAACCCAACCAAGATTAGAGAGAGAGAGAGAGAGAGAGAGAGAGAGAGAGAGAGAGAGAGAGGAGTTTTAGAAGAGAAGAAGATAGAAAATTTCAAGTTTTTTTAATTAGGATTTGATTTTAAGCGTATAGGGTTTAAGATTTTATAAAATAAAATATTTCATGTCATCCATTTTCTCTGTGTTGTCATTTAACCCAAAAAATGATGATCCTAGTAACGAATTGACTAATTCATTAGGATTCTTGCCAATAATTAGGATCTACTAAATTATTTTTTCAAGTTTATGAACTAAAATAATATTTAGCCCAAAATTTGAAATGCATGACTGTAATTTACTGTACATAAAAAGGAATCTTCCCTCATTTCATGGACAAATTTACAATTACATCACTTGAATCTTAGTTTACTCTCAATTGAATCCGATTGAATTAATATTTTCTTCTTTCTCAACATTTTCTTACGTACTGCTATATTTTATATATTAAGATTAACCTTCAACTAAGCTTCTAAGTTTCAACTGATTGCGTGGTCAAATACAGTTCCAAGTTGGCAACAAAAACAAACACCACTGAATAAATGTTTGCAGCAAGTCAATTTCTTGTTACTATCAATTTAATTAAAGTTTGCGTGAGAAAGTGATGGTTAAGCATGTGAAATGCAAGTAGGCAACCTTTAAATTCCAATATGTCCAAATATTGCTCATCATTTTCATATGTCATATCAATTAGTGAAATTAATTTGTGTAATTAATTGCTTCAGCATTATCAAGAAGAATATCCGAAGACTTTTCAAACACTACAACTTCAATTTACAGGAGTCCTGAATGTATTCTCTTGAATATTGTTCAAAATTCTCCAACTTGATGTTTTAAATTTATGATATAGTTTCTGGGATTAGAAAAATATTGGAGTTGTACTCATTGGACCATGCATATAAAACTAATATACACCATGTTTGAATGGCTTGATTTTTAATCAATTGAAACTTGAGAAACTAATTAAGAAATTAGGGTTATGAAACTTTGATTATATATATATGATTAAATTTGGTTTAGTACTTAAACTAGTTGACTATTCTTGTGCCAGCAATGATTAGGCCTGCTTGTCGCCGGATGAACTGGGATGCTCTTTCTCTCTGCTTAAAATTAATTAATGGCATAATTTTTTTGAATAGTAATGGGTTTTTAGGTTTCATTCAGTTCATTTTTTTAAAAAAAATTTGATCCAAATTGATTTAATTAGGTCTGATTTAATGAATTAATAAAAAATTATTTTTTTACAGTCTCAAAAAAATTTCGAATCAAATTAAAATAACAATAAGATAAACAAACTTTCTTGTTACTTGAGCCACTCGTGTTGGTTGGTTAAATAATGGCATAATTATGGGACATCAATTTCTCTTTAATTTTTCAGTTGAACAATAAGAAGCCAAGATTTTATTTTATTTTTTTGTTTTACTTGGATTAAGAGTAGCTATATAATGCACTTGACATCATAATAACTAAAACATATAAAAACTTGTTGATATTTTGACCTAGTAATAAAAAGGTGGTCTTAAAACCATGAGTTCGATTCAAATTTATTAGATTTATTTAGTTATATTTTAGTTTATTTGTTGGTTTATTGTTTGATTATTTTATGATTTCTTATATGTGATATAATATTTTATTATAATTATAATTGTACTTGTAAATTATAAAAAAAATTAAAATTAAAAATATATATATAAACTTGATTATTCAAAATTATACCAATTTTTGGTCATGCGAATCTAACAATTAGTTTATACTAGAAATGTCGAATTCATCTGAAGCATTCCCTACAAGCAGAAATGGACACTGCGTGCTCTACCTCTCATAATAGAAATCATGAAAAAATTATACCTAACCAGAAAGATACGACTCATATAACTCTTTGGGACAAAAAAAAAAAGCCTAGCCACCGCAAACTTACATACTTCGTTGAACCACCTAGGCTATATGGAAAATTAATTTTTGCTACATTGATTAATTTGTAAATTAGTTAAATTGCATTGGTACTAAGATTCTTTCGGGATATTATTTGGTCGATTATCCATTTTACCGTCACTTCAAAATATGCAAAATCATATATTAATATTTTTTTATACAAAAATTTAGGTGAATCTCTTTTCAAAATCAAGACATAATCACCCGTTTAAAAAAAATTACTAACAGCAAAAATCTAGACTTCTATTTTTACCAATTCAACTAACCATCGTTCACAATTGCATATTAATATTATGACATTAGAGAAAGAAAAAAAAAATTTTTTGAGTCATTATTAGGAGAACTATTAGATCTTTTGCATTGCACCGTAACGTATAGTAATATGGATCCGTAAATAGTTTATCTAATGATCGTGTTGATATTAGATTACCAAAATTTCATGATCTTGGTCATGTTTACAGATTGTAATGGATATAGTTTTTTTTGGCCAATATAGTAATGGTAGAGTGCGGCTTAATGGGAACTTAAATCGAAATATTATGATTCTCAATTTGTCCTTCCGATTAGCAAAAGTCATCCATTTTTTTAATGTAAGGACAGCTAAAAAGAATGTGCACAATATGTTTAAAAACTTGAATACCTCCAAGTCCACATGTAGTACAAATAGCGGTCATCCACAGCTGAAGTATCCATCCCTTTCCCTTGAACAATTCTAAGCACTTCGTAGGGAGATAGGAACATCTCATTTCCAAAATTAAAAAATGGCATATCCTTACTATTCTCCTCCACCACCATCACCTCCTCTTTCATGCAACGATGTTATGGCACCACCTCCCCCAAAACACCATCACCACCATCACCACAAGCCATCGCCCCCACATCACCGTCATGGCCACCATAACCCTCCGACACCACCTTATCCAGTGCCTCCACCAACCCCGGCAATGGCACCAGTTTCACCTCCAGAATCAACTCCAAATGCACCAGCACCATCATATAACTATGCACCACCAAAACCAACTCCAGGTACCCCTTCCAGTCCAGCTCCAGTGCCCTCGCCAAATCCTGCAAGCCCAACGCCTCCAAGTAAGGCATCACCCCCGAAACCCTCATATCCACCAAGCCCTGGTAAATGTCAAACTCCACCACCAAAATCACCTCCTGCTTCCTACAAGGGATCACCACCTTACTCTGCACCACCAGCAAAACCACCAAAATCTTCATCACCTCCATACCTAACACCCGGTAGCTTATCTCCTGCACCAGCACCAACTCTTTATGGGGCAAACCCACCTTTCAGTTCTCTGCCACCATCATCATATGTAACAGCACCACCACCACCGGGAGGCAACCACACAGCTATTATCGCCGTGTGTGTTTCGCTTGGTGGTGCCTTCTTCCTTGCATTCCTTTTGGTTGGTCTCATTTGTCTAGCGAAAAAGAAAAAGAAACCCGTAATGGTTCCTGCAGCAGCACCTTGCTGTGATGAAGAACGTGAACAAGCCTGCGAGACAACCCCAACAAACCCATATGCCGAACAATCTGTGGCAGTACCAGTTGATCATATATACCAGCAAGCCATAGGCTCCGCCACTGTCGGGGCCTCGGGTAGCCCACCACATTATGAACCAGGAATCGGTGGCGGTTCTTCTCATCATCGAGACAACTAAATTCATCAGTCGTTCAAGGTTATAATAGTTAATTTGCTACTTGCATGTAGCCCTTGCTATACTTTGTGTTTGTGCTAGTTCATCATTATTATTAATTGTTTGTCGGTTTCATGCATTTATAATAAGGTTTAATGAATGAATTTATTTGGTTAATTGTTTGAACGTGCTCGTTGAGCTTCTGCTAACCATAGCAGTGAAGCTGCGGAGCACCTTGATGTAGAAAGCAAATAAATGTATATTCCTACTTTCGCTATATTATTATGAATTGTGAAGCTTCCGTGTGATACTTGGATTAGTGTACTAAATTCAAAGCAATAAAGAACCAAGGATTATTTATTCCTCCTCTTTCCTCTTATTCAAGAATTTGGTATTACTTAATTATTTGGTAGAATTTGAAAGAAATGGAAAATGTAATTCAGTTCTTGTTTGGATATTGTCAAATAAAGTTAGAGTCAAGTATAGGAATTTTTTTTGTTCAAAAAAAAAAGAAAAGTTACTTCAGTAAAAGGCTTACCCTTTATGGTTGTGCATTTCACTTTTTATATATCAAGTTTAATTTTAAATTTTAAATTGGAATAGTAATGAAATATTGAAATTATAATTCTATGTTTATTTCCCCAAATTTTAGAGAAAATAACTCATTAAGTTTTTTTTGGCCAAGAATATCGTATGGTAAAATTTTCCAGAATTTATTTATTTATTCTAAACACTCAAGTATTAATCTTGAAAGTCACGGTTTTAATTGAATTTCAAAAAAAAAAAAAAAACCCAATTAGGCTTTTTTTTTTTTCAAACACATTCTATTGTTAATTAGACAATTATTGCAAGACAAATTGATAGCTCATTGGAACATTAGTTGACTCCAAAAGTTGTGCTTAAGGTGTGATTTTTTTGGACACATAAAAATTTAAATGAGAAGAGTCTACTCTATTCCAGAGCCAGAATTGCATAATATTACAAGAAAAAAATAGTTTAATATATGGGATCAAATATTTGTACCCATTGATATAGTACATTTTTTTAAAATTAATTTTAATCAGTGTTGAACACGTTGAGATTTGGGATTAATCTGAATTGATTATACGTTTCCATTTTTAGCATGTGGTTGTAAATTTTTTTTAATGGTATCTCCATTATCTCATTTTTCAATATGAAAACGTCTAATTAAAATATATACACGGTATTTTTATATAATATTAAAAAGTTTTATGTCAGTTTCTCTGCCAAAAAAAAAAGTTTTATTTCAGATTATTTTTTATGTTTCAACACTTTGTAAAAGTATAAGATGTTGATTATGAATCATTAGAAGTTAGATTTTTATATTTAATTTATGTATAAAAACTCGAATTGAATAAATTTGTTGACATTAGATACTTTTTTTAATTCATTTCTTACAAGTTCTTTATTAAAAGTTATAAGTTACTATTTTGAGAATATATATACTATTTGTTTATTTTGTTACTACTCTAAAATAATTTTTACCAAATAAAAGTACCATAAGCAAAGTGTGGGCAACAATCTAATGAACATAAAAATCTAGCCCTTGCCTTTTACCGTCATTTCACCCAATTATTTTAAACATAAAAATTTTGAAAATTTAAAGCCATATCCAGTCATTGTTACTCTGTTTATTGTTTATTTTAATCAGAATTAATTACTTTAGTATATTCAGCATGATGATATTAATAATTAAAAAATTTATATTTGATACATTCTCGTGTATAAATTTTATATACTGTTAGTGAATTGAATGATACCACTTTATTAACGAGGTGAATCAAATGATAACATCTCATTAATAAGTAAATTTTTTTAAAAAATTAAATTTTTATATATTTATTTTAAGGATTGATATTCATTTATTAATAAAATGATATCATCTGATTCATTGATATTGTATAAAATTTATACATTAATTGTGTATCAAATATAAACTTCAATAAATATAATTAATTGCTTAGTTAGTAGAGAGAAATATAGCTACTCTTGTTTAAGCATGCGTCTTATGATCATTCTAAAAATGAACATATCCAATGAAAACTAACTTTGGGCAGTTGCACTTTAATTTATGACATAGGTTAAAAAAATAATCTTGCTGGTAACATTTATTCCATCATCACAAAGAAAACACTAATCTGAGATATCATATCACTGCACTCCAGCCAATAGCATGTTCGAACAGCTTAAACCAAAGGTCGTAACTCCTGCTTGACATGGAAATTTCCATGCTTGTTTTTCTTCATTCTTAAACTCATTCAACTCCGCCATGTTTCGACCTTGACTTACTTTCCGAACAATTTATTTGAAGTAAAGACAACAATAAACAATCAAATAAAGCCCAATCCCATATCAGACGTGTATACAAATCAAGACAACAAAATATATATAGTGTAAAATAAAAACTATGCAAACTTGTATGTGGAAGCCAAGGAATTCGATGTTTTAAGTAGGTTTAGCCTTTTGAGGAGATGCGTGTTTTTGTAGGTTAGCCAGTTTTGAGATGGCCTTCAGCGTGAGAGGAAGACGGCCTGTCATAATCGGGTGGTTCAGCATGGGAACCAACAGCAGCAGCTTCATGAATTCGAACGTCGTCTACTACAGTGATAGTCAAAGTCTGCTCTCCACATGGACCTGTGGTGATGGTCTCTTGGATATGTTCATGTTCCTCAACACAAACAGCGGCTGCAGCAGGAGGAGGGATCACGACCTTCTTCTTCTTCTTTTTAGCCAAGCAGAAGAGACCAACGGCTAGGAACGCAAGGAAGAAGGCGCCTCCTAGTGAGACGAATACAGCTATAATAACAGTGTGGTCAGATGGACCCGGTGGTGATTGTGGTCCTGGTGATATAGGTGGAGGAGTAGGCCAATAATAATGCGGTGGGGGTGCCGGAGCTTGAGATGGTTGGCATATGCATGCACAAGGACATGGGTTACATTTTGGTGGAGGTAGAGGAGGTGGTATACTATGGTTAGATTTCGGTGGGGGTGGAAGCGACGGTGGAGGAGGTGGAGGTGGAGATGGTGGTGGTGGGTAGGTAGTAATAGGGGTAGCTGGTCATTCTATTCACCAAAAAGAGAGAAAGAGTTGGATAAAATAGGCCTATGGGTGTGAGTATTTATACTAGTCGGATTATTTGACTTTGAGTTCAAGTGTCCAAAGTATATACCAACATTTAACTTCTGCTCACATACATATGGATATTTCGCTCTCTCCATCTTCGATGCATCATTCATTAGCAAGCAGTTCATCCAATTCAGAGATTAGAGATTATCTTGAAAATAAGCAAACACGTGGTCAAATTTGTGGTATCAATCTCAATATTTTTACAGTCTAGTGAATGACTAGGAAAATAATAAGAAAAGAAAAGAAAAGCTTTTTGTTGCCTATGATATCAGTTTGATGACATTATTTCTCTTAAATGTTAATACCAAACTTGCATATTTAATTTATAGAAATTGCCTCAAATTATTGTATCAAATCTATAGTAAATTTAATATATATGTATAATTAATTTAAAGAATATTATATATGAGCTCCAGTTCACATTTCTTTCTTGGCCTCTTCAAGTGTCCATGTAACATTGTTGGCAGACCCAACTATATTTGAGAATTATGAAAATTAGGTTAATGTAATTATAGTATATGGAAAACAATACAAACAAACTTAGTCGAAATTAAAATAAATAGAAATTAATATAAAGATAGCACAACATCATTAATCTTTAGAAAAAAAAATGATGATTACTCTTGAACATTTGATTCTATGATAAGTTTATAATAAGAAAATTCGGTAAATAGTTATAACTAAATCTATTGAAAGAAATAGTCTCCGATAATCACATAAATTATTAATAAAATATTAAACTCTTAATTTCAATTATTAAAGTTCAATTTTTAACCATCATAAATATTGGGAAAAAAAAAAGTAATGCTCACAACACAAGAGTTAAAAATGATATCTCTCGTAGAAGTTTAACCTTAACAAAAAGATTAGCTTCTTAGGATTAAAGCTTAATCTCATCAGATGTTTAATTATTTTACTATGACTAAGCAGACTAATTTATAATCATCGTGATGATCATGAACAACTCGATTTTATGAACCTGTGGGGCTATCTTTTGTTTCAAGCTCTGAATTATTCAAATCGATAGTGATATGTGTAATTACTAGAAGACTTCATTTAATAAGCATTCAGAATTCCATTGATATAATGTACTAGCTTTAATGTTATTACTGGACAAATTATTAAACTACACATTTTCAGCACTAGTCTTTAAGACTACTCCCTTGTGGTGCAGTCCATGGATACTTTTGGTTGGTGTAAAGGGCTGTCAACTGTATTATATATACACACGAGATTCAAAGTAAAGCAAAATCTCAATTTCTTCTGATCATAAAACTATATATATATATATATATATATATATATCAGAAAATTCTTTGTTGAATAAATCTAATCATTTTTAGTCTCTCAAAAATAACGTCAATTTGCATTATGCTAACTACCAACTCATGCATTCTTTATTATGTATGGTTTAGTATTATCATTAACATTTTATGTATAGTTTCTTATGGGTATAGCTATTTGCCATTTCTGACATGTTAAAATAATATTACTTCAATTTTTATCTTATTGCCCCATCTCCAATCTTCAGTAAATGTACAGAAAAATCAAGTTTTAATTGCAAAAGTTGCAGCCATATTTGAGAAAATGTAAGAGATATTTCCATATCGAAGCACCTTATTTCTATATAACAAAAAAAGCAAACAATTTTCTTTTCAAATTGTTAAACATAGCCTACATAATTTTGACGTTTGTACATTATTAACTGTCACCAAAATGTTATTAGTATTTAGAAAGAGACGAAATATTTTATCCAAAGGAAGTAATAGTATAGAAATAAGAGAAAATATTACAGTTTAAAAATGATTACAAATATCAATAGAGATCTAAATCTTCGATTCATAGACAAGATTCAGTATGTTGCTTGTAAGAATAGCTTTTGACTTGGAATGAACTTCACCAAGTACAAACTCCAGCTGCTTGTAATGGTTACTACTGTTAGTATTACTTATATTCTGAGTGATTGTCATTTATTCTTTCAATATATATTTCATGAATTGCTACCCATGTCTCCGGCAACCATATATAGACTAAAATAAGAAGAAAAAAAATCAACTCATGTAGCTTTCTTTGATTTTAGCTAGCTACTTGGCGTGGCCTAGGATTAAACAATACTATTTTCTTTTATTAGAAAATGGTTGAGAATTGAGATCAATTGCAGAGGTTAATTTGTTGGTTATTGCTCCTGAGGAATAATATCTAGCTATTGATGCTAAAGTCTTGAAGATCATCCATCAAGATGGCGTCAAATATAGGCTTAGTGGGTTTTTTTTTTTTTTTGCAATTTTATCTTAACTTGCCTTTCTTGCAAAACATTGAGATTACTTGTTTATTTGTGTCAAATATGAGCTGCTTGATCGACTTGAGCTGCTTGGTCACTGCAACAAACCATCAAATTTTCCTTTTTTTTTTTTTCAAAGAAATAAGCATTTCCTCAATTAATCAAGTGCTGTATCATTCAAAGTTATTCGGGCAAATTGGAGGTGTAACATACACTTCTGTATGAACAGATCATTTTTTTTGTTGTTGTCACCTTCCCATGATTTTGGCTAACATCAAAAACCATTCAGCACCCAACTATAAAAGCAGCAACTTGCATGGGACAGTGATCAAGCCTTATATATATATATATATAGATAAAGTTAGAGCGTAACTTAGGGGGTTTCGTGTTCAAGGATCCAATGGAAAATGTCGAAGACAGAAACTTAGTATGTCCCAATAATATTTATCTATATTTTAACATTAAAAACGTACCTTTAATAGCTGCTTGTCTGCTTCCACACTGTTAACCATCTGATTTATTATTGTATTACATCAGTCTAAAAAAGTTGAATTTTCATGCATGCATCACTAGGGAGATCATTTTCTGTTATCTGCTTCATCATGATATTGCATTTTCTACTTCAACTTGGTTAGCATAAAAAATTGCCATCATTGTCAGAACAAGGAATTTGTTGGGAAATTTCCACATACAAGGAAAACTAAAAGAATTTGGAAGGGTATCATTGACTTGCAATAACCTCATGCTTTACTTTTTCTTTTTTTCACCAGAAAATTCAGTAGATTTATCATATTTCAATATGGCATTATCTATATATCATAAAAATAATGATAAAAATGATTTATCATTATTTCAGCAGGCATAATACTAGTTACGTTAATATTCAAAAAATTTTAGCAGTTCAACGGGGGCAGTTGCCTCCTCCTTTTATATCAATCACTGACCCACAGGATCTGGAGGCCTGACACCTCCAAATGGCATGTCTAATGGACGTAGTCTATAACCCCCCATGTAGGGCATTGGACCAGCATAAGGACACAAAAACCCATCCATCCCAGAATGCATACCAGTCCAGTAAAGCTTATGGGGCAGAGGGACCCATTGAGATGTAGTTTAGAGAGCAAAAAGATTCCGGTTAGAGAACATTCCTCGTGATTCATAAAACTCACATGTAGTTTGCACTATCAAACAAACAGGAAAAAGGGGGCTGCGGACCTACCATTAGCTGTCAAATGAACCTTCTTCCTTTTCCTTTTCTTCCCTGCATAATCGAAAATCAAAATTAAACCATTTATTTCCTTGTTTTTCACTAAAGAAATAATACAACTTACTCTCTCCAGAATACACACACATACCCAACATCCATTCAACTATGGGTGCAAGATGGAATAGGAAAGAAGATGACATAAAAGTTTAATGCCTTAAGAATGTATGAACTTATTAATAGACACACTGGAAAAAATACTTAAAGAAAATGACACAAGAAATATATCCCAGCCGCAATCTTTCAAGAACTGGAATGGTGCTTAGGCTGACATGGAATGAGATGGCCCCACTCCAGCATTTTCCACCTAGGTTTGAAACCTAAATCTCACAACTTCCATTAGGAGATCAGTCCCAATGTTCTTAAAGGTTGTCTTTTGACCTCACCCAATCAACATAACATAATCGATAAATTGAAAAACAAATTATTATTACCTGCCTCTCCAGAAGCCACCTTCTATTGCACTTCTTCCTCTGCAAGGGGGCACTCCTTTGTGATGTAGGCTCCTTCACACTGACTGACCGCCTCAGATGCATCAGCTAGTTTAGCAATCTTTACTTTCTCCAACGCCAAATGTGGGGGAATAGCTACTTTAACCTCATTAGCTTTGTCCTTCACATTAGGGCTTTCTTCCTTAGAAGATACGTACAGGATTCTGTTCTCCCTTCAGTACAGCAGTTGTAGTAGCTAGGAGACAGAATTTTTGGCTGTGGACACCAAGCGGACTCCATATCTAAATTTGAAAGACTTGACTTATCAATTTGCATGGCAGATTGCGTGTAAACATCGAAACCAACTTCAAACTAGCCATTTGCCACCCCATCAAACTGTCAAAACCTGCCTCAACATCTCATATTCCACGTTTCTTACATGGAATTCCCTTTCAATTAAGTACTTTAGCTTGTGTCTTTTTATCACTTTCTGCATTATAGCTTTCTGTATTTCTAATAATATGAATCAAGATCGACTTAATCACTTCTAAATTCTAACCTTCAATGATTCATATTCTTCAAAGAAACTAGTTTATTACTTGAACTAGCAAAGCAAATCCCATTCAAGAAACTAGACAACATACACCTCTAATGATAATGATCAATGAAATCATAGAACAAGGGTTGTCCCCGGTGAAGAGAAAAAGAGGGAAGATTCCTAATATGAGCAAACAGAGCTTAGGATACAGAGGTTTTGAACTATCAATTTTTAATTCAATTGGGATTAGCAGGGAAATGCCCTCAGATACCTCAAAGTCACAGCACCTAAATTGCCAGCTACAGATAGTTGTATTCGTTCAAATACAGCCATCTAACAGACTTCATATCCTTTCTAGACTTCTCTAGTAAGAGATTATGTCAAGTGCCCTTAAAACAAAATGCTTAAAGAGGAACATTACTTCTAGGCTCCAGCAACATATGTTATCCATGATTACCACAAAGTTCAAACTATTGCAAATAGAAAGAAAAAGGGCATAAGAAAATCACCAAAATCACGCCCACCCATCCTTCCAGCCATACCCCTTCCAAAGCCATCCAAACCTGCGCAGCAAATTCAAAATAATTAAAACCTTTAAGAATGAAAATTGCATCAATACAAACAAAAAGAGAAGAAAAGAAAATAGCAGTCATCTCACCACCGTCAGTCCAACGCAGGAGTATCAATTAAAGCCTTAATTTTGCTGTCCTCATCACTTTATTAGCAGGAGGAGCGTCAGGATACGGATTTCTCGACTGCACTAGCAGCGTTTCAGGGATTGAATACAAATCATTCCCAAACTCATCCCATTCGGAGTCTTCAGGCTACAAGTAGAAAAATAAAGCTTAATATTAGGTTTATATTATTTTCTGTTTGCTGATAAAGAAAATATTCCTGAAATGCACAACATAGTAGATATAAAAATAAACCAATTTTCATCAAGGAAAATATGTCAGGAACAAAACATACATATTTCAGAACAGATGAACCAACATGCAGGAAGTTACTCTTTCCTGGTTGAGCATTCACAATCTGGGACACCACCTTGGGCCTGTGAAGAATAACAAAGCCCAAATTCAGACCTAGAATCAAATTTTGTCTCACAAAACCCAAACACCCTGCTGACCATGTTCATGCAGTTAACAGAACCTTTGATACTTGGGTTTTATCTTTCAACATGGTTAACTAAATTAAAAGTATCAGTTCATATTGAACCGGGGACTTAGTCCAAAGTTTATCCACCATTTTTAGGAGGTGGTTTTTGGTAAGGTTGGGTTTATTTTTAACACTTGCAAATTTCATTTTTTTAAAATTTCTCTTAAGCCTTAATCTTTTATATACCTAAAAAAATGAGTTAATATTTTTTACAGTGAATGTATAAATATTATAAATTATCATAAACAGTACATTGATACTATAAGTTAAATTAAAAATAATCATGTACATAAAAATAAATATTAATGAAATTTTTTGAAAGAATAAATTATTTAAGTTTAATTAATTATTAAAAGCAATTTATTTTAAAAACCAAATTATTTTTAATTTTACTTAAGATTTCATTTTGTGATTAATTAACAGTGTTCATCACTTAACATTATCAGTGTTATTAAATATTAAAATTGGTGAGGCATCATTGGGATTGAGAGCAGCAGCAATGCGAGAACCCTTTCGGTTTCCAGGAACTCGACGAATTAAAATAAAAGCTTTTTTTGACTATTAACATTATTTCATCGTTATATTTGAAATTGAAAAGAGAGAAAAAGAAAGTCAAAAAAACACTACAAACAAACAAAACAAAGGAACCTCGTGAAAGATAGAACAATTACCTAAATACGATAATCAAGACAGAGCAGAGACCTTTACCTTCGTTAGTTTGGGCATTAGCGGCAATGATGCCGAAGTTATCCATAAGTAATTAATTTAATCGATTAAATTTATATTAACAAATTTTAATTTTATTAATATTATTTTAAATACATAATTTATAATTATTTATTTTAAATTATTAAATATAATATATTTTAATTTAATTTAAAAATTAAATAATTTATCAATCTCAAATTTTTTTTCAAAAAAAAAATAATAATAATGATGTCGAAGTCGGCAATGCTTTTATTCAAAGATTTCTCACGCACTAATAGCTGTCAAATTGAAGTATTAGCCAAAACTCAAAAACCAATAATTTTTTACACTGTTTTTTTTTAATGACAAAAGTACCCTTAATTGGTAGTTAGACTGACTCCGGGCATTGGTTCCCATTGGTACGTAGGTAGACTTGATGTCCGATCGCAAAAGAAAACAAAAAGGATAATTAATCTTTTTTGGCCACAGGACAATTGAGGGAAGGGATTCAAATGCCATATCCCTTATAAATTTCATTTAAATTTGAAGAAATTCATCTTTTTTTTTTGAAATATTAAATTTTAATAGAAGAAACTAATCAATCATCACGTGTATAGACAAGACTGGTGACCGGATAAATATTGGAAACCGTTGAATTGTATAGGATTCTTTGAATTCAAAAGATTCTAGTCAAAAGTTAATTTGACACCACTGACAACAATGATTTTGTGTGTAATTATTATAGAAAATTAAACATTTTATGCGTTATTGAGAGAACAACATTTGGTACACAAAAACGTGTTAGAATTCTTTTTGTCAAATCCAACTTACAATCAAGAGGATAAGGATGTTGGTATAGGATGATTTCTCTTCCTGTTTTATCAATTAAGGTTAAACAAATATTGATGCCCGCTTGCAATTATAAATGTCTTCATTTAAAAAAAAAATTTAATCCAAAATATATGTATCTATTAATAAAAAATTTAATAGTAATTCCTTTAATTGTTGTTTTACATGAAAATAAATCTTACCAACATTCAACCATTGCTATTTCTATCATATAATATTATTTAAAGATTTATATATAATTAGTTCATATTTGAAAGAGAAAATTATTAATTAATCATTAAATAATTAATTAAATAATTAAATTCTTGCATAATAAAATTTGAATCTAAAATTTTAAAATTTTAAGATTTTGTTTACCTCTAAACAGGTTATGATTAACATTAAACTTCACGATGTAATCATTAAAGTAAGTAATAAATTTTCCAAAACCTTAATTTTTGTCACAGTGCAAAAGAAGGAAATGAGAATGTAAGTCCTTTTTTGACAAAAGAAAATCAAAGCCTCCCTTCATGTTTATTGCACAGACAACATGTGTTGTAGAAATTAACGACTGCAGGCGAAGTAGGCAATATCAATGATGATGAGTGCTGTTGGACCACGACTCCTACCCACATTTAGATAGCCAGGCCATGTGTTACGGACCTAAGGAAGAGTCATGAATCTCACATCGAACATAATAAAAAGGTCACTAGGGTATAAAAGGATTCACACCACCTCCGCCTTGTGATGTGCCTTTTGTAGGACAAAACCGTGAGGTCAGGGGGGTCAGAGCGGATAATACCTCACAAAGGTGTGAACAGTGGCAGTCAGGCTGATCTGGGACACCAGAAGGGTGAATGCCCAGGTCCCGGAGCCGCGCGGGTTCGAAACTTAAGTTTCGACCCGTGACAAGTGGTATCAGAGCACGGTTGAGAAGTGCTAGAGAAAATGAATGAGATGGCCATAAGTGGTGGACCGGATCATCAATAGAGAATTGAGGAACTTGAGGCCGCGGTGGCCGCAATGAAAACTCATATGGTGATGAAAGACCGAGTGAGGGAGATCGAGACAACCCAGCGGGAGTTGTCCGATACTCTCCACAATGTGAGTGAAGAGGCTAGAGATGCCATGAACATTCTTCAAAAGGAGTTTGAGGAGCTCAGAGCACAGGTGAGCATCTTACAAATGGCTGTGGCCAGATCAAGTTTGAGTTCGATGGACAGGGGACAAAGGCCTAAGGTGTCGAAGTCTCGATGCTATGAGGGGGCAAGGGATGCTAAGGAACTTGAAAATTTTTTGTTTGACATGGAATAATACTTTCGAGCTGTACACACAAGTTCAGAGGAAGACAAGGTGACAATGGCATCGATGTACCTCGTAGGGGATGCCAAGCTGTGGTGGTGCTCCAAGTTTGTCGATGACGAGTGCCTGATTAAGACTTGGACGGATCTGAAGCGAGAATTGAAAAACTAATTTTTTTCGGAGAATGTGGAGTACATGGCTCAAAGGAGACTTCGAGAGTTGGTGCAAACCGAAACGGTGCGAGAGTTCGTAAGGAACTTTTCTACCCTGATGCTGGATATTCGGGACATGTTCGAAAAGGACAAGATGTTCTATTTTCTTGAGGGCTCAAGCCTTGGGCGAGGACAGAACTACAAAGGCAGAAAGTGCAAGATGTGGCCACGGCCATGGCTGCAGCTGAACGTCTTCATGATTACAATGATGGCTCCTCAAAATGGAAAAATTCTCCATCAACTAGCAGTAGCTTTAACTTTGGGAGTGGGGGAAAGATGACTAGATTGGACTGACCCTTCAGTGGGGGATCAGACAGGAGGTCCTTTGGGCGAGATAGCACCCAGCCCAAGACAAGCAACGCAGGGATTTTCAAGCCTAGGCAACCGCTAGCTTACTTTCTTTGCAAGGGGCCGCATCGAGTGGCTGAATGCCCGCACCGGGGAGCCCTTAATGCCTTAAGGACCTCATCTCAAGAGTCCGTAAAAGTGCTAGAGAGCGTTGAAGAAGTTGAAGAAGAGCCAGTCATGATGGGTTCAATAAGGTTCCTCAATGCCCTCCGCACCCAATTGAACACTATAAAGAAAGAGTAAAGTAGAGGCTTGATGTACGTGAACTTAACAATCAATGAGAAAGCCACCAAGGCCATGGTGGATACGGGTGTAACCGACACTTTCATCACACCAGAAGAAGCAAAAAGGTGTGGTCTTCAGATTAGTAAAGACTGTGGATGAATGAAAGCGGTCAATTCACCAGCCTTTGCGATCAGTGGAAGCTCTAAAAGTGTGACAACCCGATTGGGGCCATGGGAAGGGAAGGTAGACTTTACAGTTTCCCCCATGGATGACTTTGATGTTGTCCTCGGATTGGACTTCATGATGTTGGCTCAGATCATCCCTATCCTTGCCGCTAGCTGCTTGTTGTTCTTAGGGGAACACCCATATGTGGTGCCAGCTAATATTTTACCAAAGAGTGGGAAGAAAATGATTTCAACTTTGTAGTTCAAGAAAGGGGTAAAGAGAAGAGAACCTTCTTTTGTGGCGGTGTCAATTTACAAAGAAGGGTCGAAAGTAGAACCAATACCTGATGGTGTGAGAAAAGTGTTGGAAGAATTCGAAGAGGTGATGCCAGAGATGTTGCCTAAAGTTCTACCCCCTCGACGAGCAGTGGACCATGAAATTGAGCTCATCCTAGGAGTGAAACCCCTTGCTAAAGTGCCCTACCGTATGGCCCCACCAGAGTTGGCCGAACTAAGAAAGCAGTTAGATGAGCTGCTACAAGCCGGGTTCATCAGACCATCAAAGGCTTCTTTCGGAGCACCAGTGTTATTTCAAAAGAAGCACGACGGAAGTTTGCGATTATGTGTTGACTACAGGGCCCTGAACAAAGTCACCGTAAGAAACAAATATCCCATTCCCCTTATAGCAGACCTGTTTGATCAACTGAGCCGAGCCAAGTACTTCTCCAAATTGGACTTGAGATCTGGCTACCATCAAGTCAGAATCGTTGAGGGAGATGAGCCAAAGACCACTTGTGTGACATGGTATGGTGCATTTGAATTTCTTGTTATGCCTTTTGGACTGACCAATACTCCTGTCACATTTTGTACATTGATGAATCAGGTGTTTCACGACTACTTAGACAAATTTGTTGTACATTGATGAATCAGGTGTTTCACGACTACTTAGACAAATTTGTAGTCATCTATTTAGATGATATAGTGGTATATAACTCCACCTTGGAAGAGCATCAAGAGCACCTACGTCAGGTACTTCAAAGATTACATGGCCACCAGTTATACGTAAAAAGGGAGAAGTGTGCATTTGCTCAGACCCAAATCCATTTTTTTGGTCATATTGTCGAATATGGCCACATTCGAATGGACATAGAAAATGTTAGAGCCATCAAGGAGTGGACAACCCTGAAGAACGTTAGTGAACTTCGCTCATTTTTTAGACTAGCCAACTACTATAGAAGGT